ATGTGCTATTTTAGGCCGTTACTTCATCACATGTGAATAAGTATTCATCTAGTGAGCTAAATTGCTACAGGATACACTGCACAGTACTCCTGCCTACCTAAAATCAACAGGAACTGAGTGAACTACAGAGTTTGGAGTAAAGGACAAATGGGGTGGAGGGATGGCAGAGAACACTTGTGACAGACAGAAAGATAAACACTGACATACAGTCCAAGACACAGGGAGACAGACCAATAGAAAGATAATGTAACACAGACTAAGAGGCAGAGAAAGGGCGTGGGGATCCTGCCATACCATAGAGCACAGAAAACTGCAGGACATCCAGTCCAAGTACAGTAAATCCAGCTAAATCTGGCAAGCCAGTGATCAAATCAGTGTTCCCACACTAGAACGACTGGGCCAGCTATGGGAACACAGTGTCCAAGTAAGTACATAACAGCGCTCTCTATTGCACTACTGAGGATAGACTATCAAGCCCCTAGACTGAGAAATTTAATGAATACTAACTATCTTGCATTCAAGGCTTCTTATAGGTTTTGGCATTGCACATTACAAATTACACAGGTCAAGTTCCAGTTTTCTTTTTTCTTTGTGGCCAGTTGGCTGTATATGGAAATATTTTAAAATTCCATAAAACACAGATTATGTTTGCAGTACGCCTTAGCAGTCACAGGAAGTCAGTTTTTCAAGGATATGTGCCCATCTGTGGACACTTTCATACATGCCCCACCAAACTGGTGCCAGTGCTCATAGAGATCATCTTCCTAGTTTGATAATCATCCTGTACGCCACCCAAACCAAGCAAATGTATTAATTCTGATTCAGTCATGTACAGTCCCCTCCAAATGTATTGGAACGGTAAGGCAAATGTCTTTGTTTTTGTTGTTCACTGAAGACATTTGGGTTTAAGATCAAAAGATGAGTATGAGACAAGACTTCAGAGTTTCAGCTTTTATTTCCTGGTATTCACATCTAGATGTGTTAAACAACTTCGGACATATCACCCTTTGTATTTGTTTCAGGGTGTTTCTCCCTTCAGTCTCCTCTTAAGGAGGTGAAATGCATGCTCTATTGAGTTAAGGTCAGGTGATTGACTTGGCCAGTCTAAAACCTCTCACTTTTTCCCCCTGATGAAGTCATTTGTTTTGTTGGCAGTGTGCTTTGGGTCATTGTCCTGCTGCATGATAAACTTCCTCACGATTAGTTTCAATGCATTTCTCCATAAATTGGCAGACAAAATGTTTCTGTCCACTTCTGAATTCATTCTGCTGCTCCAATCATCAGTTACATCATCAATAAATGTTAATGAGCCTGTTCCAGAAGCAGCCATGCTCGCCCAAGCCATGACATTACCTGCACCATGCTTCACAGATGAGCTTGTATGCTTTGGATCATAAGCAGTTCCTTTCTTTCTCCACACTTTGGCCTTTCCATCACTTTGATAGAGATTAATCTTGGTCTCATCAGTCCATAAGATTGTGTTCCAGAACTTTTGCGGCTCATCTCTGTACTTCTTTGCAAATTTCAATCTGGCCTTTCGATTCTTACTGCTGATGAGTGGTTTGCATCTTGTGGTGTGTTCTTCCAACAGTGGATTGTGATACCTTCATCACTGCACTGTGGAGGTCGTTGGTGATGTCACTTACTGATGTTTCGGGGTTTTCTTCACAGCTCTCACGATATTTCTGTCATCAACTACTGTTGTTTTCCTTGGCCGACCAGTTCAACGTCTGTTGCTCAGTACACCAGTAGTTTCTTTTTTTTTTCAGGACATTCCAAATTGTTGTGCTTGCTATGCCCAATGTTTGTCCAATGGCTCTGGTTGATTTTCCTTCTTTTCTCAGCTTGACAATGGCTTGCTTTTCTCCCATAGACAGCTCTCTGGTCTTCATGTTGGTTTATCCTCTTTAACAGGAAATGCAGTCTTTATAGATTTGAACCAAGGATGAAAACTTAGACTATTCATGCAGAGCTATTTAATGTTTGGACAATCAACCTAAAAGGCAACACCTGGGCAACAAGAAACATCTGTCAGTCACATGTTCCAATAGTTTTGCTCACTTGAAAAAATGGGTGGGTTCAAACAAAGGGTGGTATGTCCTGAGTTGTTTAACACATCTAGATGTGAATACCATGAAATGAGAGCTGAAATTATTAACTCTTTGTCTCATACTCATCTTTTGATCTTAAACCCAAATGTCTTCAGTGAACAACAACACTACAATACAACGCGCAAACACCTGCTGTAAAGACATCAGAAAACTTCTGCAGCATCCCCTGAACAGCATGAACAACTTCATTACTTTAACACAGCATTTTAGTTCTACTCATTTCAAATCACTGAACATAGTGTATCTACATTTCAGATTATACAGCTGCAGCCAAGCTGGAGAGAGGAGGGCTGAAAGCAGACAAATGGAGAAAGACATGAGGGAGAGGAGAGTGGAGGAAAGTGAGGTAATTGGGAATCATATGGCCATGTCAAACAGCTTGCCCGGTGATTCCTGACAGCCCAGCGCTGTGTCCTCATGCCTCCAGCACAGGGGCCAAGGAGTGAGGTAAGGAGGAACAGAGGGACAGAAGTATGAGAGTCTGTCAGAAAGCACCCCGAGGTCGGAAAATTCAGAAAACACAACAGAGAAACTTCTCACCAGCAGGCTGGCTGTTTGGAGGACAGGGAGAGGGGTAGATAGAGAGACACTGACAAAGAGAGATAGGTCTTGGAGCGTGGGCTGGGGGCAGTAATTTATCTGTTCACAATCCCACTTGTCAAACCCTAACCACCCACTTCTCCACAGATCTGAACCACTCAAGGGAGGAACATGTGTCTTGAAGAAAGCAGTGTTACCACTGTTCCACATGCCTAAAAGCACGTGCGTGATGATATGGCTCTGCGGGAGAGTTTTTTTTTAGTGGAAAGGTGCTGAATTGAATTTCCACTGAAGAACGACCACAATGAGACATACTTTCCATTGCCATCAACAATGGATAGACACTGCCAATGCTGTAAATAGTTTACACAGCTCACAAAGACAAACAGGCAGACGTGAGCGCAAACACACATGAATCTAAAAAACAATACATCCATATGCATGAATGGATGCACAGCACACTCGCATAAGTTTAACGCGAGTGCGTGCACAGTGTGCACACAGTAAACACACAAAAGGAATCAATTTTCCACGGTTCTTTTTCAGCTTTGCCTCTTCATTGCAAATGTTTGGTGGTCTGTGCAAAACAAAACCAGTAAAAACTTAGTTTTTCCTATATCTATAAATGGTTTACTTTACAGCCATGTTTAGATTTTAGTGCATACTGAGCAGATGTATGGCAGTCTTTCAACAAATGATGTAAAACATTCCATGTGAATTCTTATTTTCTAATATAACAAAATGTATTTTTAAAAAGTTACTGTAACTGAAAAACAATGTCATGTCACACAAATAAATGTCTCACTATGAAATGAGCACTGCACACATCATTATGGGTAGGTATCACTTCTCCCCTATATGACCAAAATGAAATCTGCAAATGTTATATTGAAATTACATCAGTAAAATGACCAACTGAAAAAAGATGATTGCTGTGATGAGGTGCCATAATTGTAATCAATGTCAAAGGCAGATCGACACATACTGTTGCTGAGTGGCAAGCAAAATTGGTCAGACCCGCATCCCCTTTTCCTAATCTTCTAGTCACACTTTTACAGATATTTAATCATCTGATTACTGTATGATCACATAAATAATTTACCTTTACATGCTTCAATCCCCCACTCCACTTACACTGCACTCTTAACAGGCCCTCTGTGAATTCAAAAACCTTCCCATCCCATGCAGTACATCCAGCCAAATTAATTGCTTTCTGAAACTTTACCACACACCTATACGGGCCACGTCAAAGCAAGAAATTCAATGCAAAACTCATAACCACTTAGTGAGACATTAATCTTTGACCTATTTACCGTTTGAACTTAAGATTTACCAGGCAGAGTTGAATTTATGCCACAGCTAGTAATTCAAGCCTACGACATTCCCACAGAGAGAGAAACAACTTTCCCAGTGGAGAAGACTAGAATGAAATTCAACCTTTCAACGCTTAGTCCAAAACTAAATATTTAGAGCTTTATTATGTCACAGGTGGCAATTCAAAGGCACAACTTCCCAACTCTTTAAGAATTTACTGGATACCACAGGTTTTTCAATGCATCAACTGATTTATGAGCTCTGAGAAAGCGGAGCAGGTCATATCAAACTCAGACTTAACTGGAACTGCAGTGTATAATCTCGTACCATATGAGCCATGACTAGAACAGGCCAGGATCATAGCCAGGGAGAGTACTTGTGAGAAATAGTCTGCTTTCACATTTTTGTAAGACAGTAGGTTACTCTAACCCACTGACTGGCCCCATATAAAGATCATCAATAACAGTGCAGATGGAGGGGCTTTCAGGAATAGACAGACCAGTCTCTACACAGTCTCACACACAGTCTCTGCTCCTCCACTCCTCACCTCATTCTTTTTTTCTCCAACAAAGCCACAGACCCTTTTTGAGTACACACATGCACTGTACAGTACACTACTATCACATGCAAGCAATCAACATGCTTCAAATAAGCAAAACATGGGGCAGATGTAAAGCAGGGAACATTCCTAAATGCTTATGTCCAATACACAGTTGACCGCTAAATACAGCTGATTTATGATATTCAAATACTGCATCCTTCAAAACAAGTTGAGTCACACAAGTCTCAGTTATCAACACAAAAGTAAATCAAAATCAGTTGATGTCTCATATCCTGTTTTTCAACGGGAAAAACATCTGACATGGTCTCCCATACCATATGAAGACAAGGTTTTGTGTCCAATGCAACCACACCAAATTACAATGTGGAGTCAAATATTAAACCCGCAAGCGCACTGCTGGGAAAAATGATACAGTAATTCCTGAAAAGTTTCTGGAAAGATGCTACAGTGTGTCTTAGTGGGGTTTGACTTACATATTTGCCAGAGGAGGGTTCTCCGGGAGGTAAGGACCCAGGACTGAGCACAGGGGAGCTTGCTGGACTGCAGAGCTCTGGGAAGGGGTTGGGAATGGCCGGGAGAGATGATGTCCTCAGCTGCTGCTCCTCCTCCTGCAACCTCCTGGACAATGGAGACGGGACAAAGGAACAGGTCTAAGTTCATGACCTGGAACGGCTCTCAAAAAGTGAAATGGAGAACTTTGAATTGAAAGCCGCTGACACGTGAAATACGTGCAGAAGAATTAATAAAGCATTGCTGTACAGTATCCAGTCTCATCTCGGTTTCCATCTGATCTAGCCGTAATGAACAGTCTCCTAGCAAGTGGTAATCACAGATCCCTACAGCCTGCCAGCAAATTTTTGCAATATTTATAATGCATCAATATTGAATCAAGACATCACATTAAAGCAGTTTTTAAATTCAGCACATGTGGTGTAAGCTTGTGGGCAGGTCAGGTTGTGAAATTCTAGCTAGACAGCTAGCGCAGAGAATCACTGTAGAATCACTTTTCTCTCTTTCTCTATCAAAGACTGTCTCTCTGCAGAACCCCATGAGTTCAAAAGGGAACGGGCCTTTTGATGTTGTGTTCCATCTGAGCATGAGAACAGGGTTATCCAGAGGTCGACATTGAATAATAAGAACTTCAGGGCCCTGAGTCTCTGTGTGTGTGTGTGAACGTGTGTTTGAAAGAGAGAGCTCATAAGACAGAATACTCCATTACCTGATCATACCTCCTCTGTTTCTGTCATATACTCCAAAGGTGAATAATAGGAGTTAACACCAGCTCTGGTGCAAATGTGTTTGTGTGTACTGCATGTACTGGTATACAACCATACTTCTGTTGCCTTAGTGTGTATGTGTGAGTGAGCACACCCACTTCTGAATGCATACAATAACAGCCTTAGGGAGAATATGGACCACTCTTCAAATTGAGAGAGACATTTGCACATGGTACTAAAATAAATGAGATGATTTTTACTTTTCTCCTCCTGCTGGTGTAGTTTGAGACAAAGAGGGAGCGACAAGGAGGAACAGGTCATTCAAGGGCTACAGATAGGGAGCGGGGAGGAAATGTTATGCCCAATTATCATGAGGGTGTGGAGGGATGACAGTGTACAGTGAGAGGCTTCTTTTCCAATGTGGAGAGAAAAAAAGGAGTTGGCGCTCTGTGTGTGCGTGTGTGTTCGGCTATGCATGTGTAAATATATGATGCTGGAAGATGTTTGCTTAAAGCTCACTGCCATACTTCTGTTGCCTGAGTGCATGTGTCTGAGTGTGTGTGCACATGTATGACTGATGTCTTATTTTAAGTTTCTCTGCTGGTATATGCGTATAGGGTTTTCAATTCTGATGTGTTTGATTTCACCGTAAAACACCTGGGCCGCATTCTGCCCCAACAAAACGTAGCAAAAAAATGTATTTAGATGGAAACGGTGGTGCCTCGAACCCTTCTGTTGTGTACACAAGAGCGCTGCACTGCCTTTTTAATATGGTTGTTTTTACACGTGACTGCTGATTGGGTAATACATCTGACACACCCACCAAACGAGAGAAAACATACCTCAAAGTAGAGGTGGGTGAGCAAATCGATTCTTAGATGCATCGCGATGTGGACGTGGAAGATTCTGATTCGATTAACAAATGTCAGAAAAACTTTCATGTAAACTTTAATTGATAATGTAGTGTTGACGGAACGCAAAGTGCAAGTGCAGCGTCCAGACCGTCTGTGGCGAGAGAAGGGTCCAGCTGCAGACCACAGACAAACGTGAAGGAAGATGAACTTCCATATATGGTTTGTCCCAGAAGCCACTGCACACAAAACGTGATGACGTTTATCTCAACCGCTCGGCCCACGCATAGTTGTTAAATCAATAAAAAAAGAGCCGTTAAAAAAGAGGTGTCAAGTGTCAACGTAGTAATCAGTGTACGTTCTATTTCGTATAGGCTTCGACCTCTAAGGCTATCGCCATTTGGTTTACCCCTTCTGCACGCGCCTGCGCGGCACTGAGAATTTTAGTCTACGCCCACCCACAGCGTGGGCCTCTCCTACGTCCGCACCTTGTATATATACACACACAACTGTGAGACCCAGCCTTCGGCTACCACTTTTCTTCAGCACTGAGCTGTCTAAAGAGCAGATTTGTCTAAAGTGCAAAGATTTTCCAGCTGGAAAACAAGAAGAACGATGTCTTCCAGCAAGCCGCCCAGAACAGTGTGAGTCTGCTACACGGGCTATATCGTGCTGGGGCCCACGTTGCTCCACATTAGCTGCGGCTAATGACATTTAACAACCGGTTTCATTGCTGCAGGCCAACCCTCGTCGGTCAGAGCGGACCACTGGTAAGCTATGGGTCGAAAAAAAAAAAAGCTGTGTGAAATCTTGTTGCTCCTTTTGTGGAAGTTGTTGAACAAATGCTGTCTGTGCCTGTCTCAGTCGAACCAGCCATACCAAGCACACATTTCCCACACGGTGTGAGCCAGCTGCCGTTAGCCGAGTGGCTAACCTGCAACTTGAAGCTCAAAGCAACAAGCAGTACACTCTGTTCACGATCAGAAGTCTCTTCACACACCCTCCCCACAGAAACTATGAGCCCACGACAGCGGACATTCGCTTCGTGTGGACAGCACATATACACACCTGGTACAGATTTTTCTGACAAAGAAATCTGCCGGGTAGTGTGTGATGCTGTTGACATTATGCACGTTCCCCCGGAAGTGCCCGGCTGCGAGCTCATGCATAATCACGGCATCAATGGCACGGTCCTTCTGTGCGTCCAGGGTTTCCCCCTTGGTTCACAAAAGCCAGACTGTGTCAAATGAGCCCTTGAAGCGGTCACTACGCACTACGGCAGGCGACAGTGACGCCTGGGAGGATTGTGTTGTGAGACGGTGCCCTTTGAGGGCGTCCCCTGTCTGTGGCCCCGGATCTGGCATACTGGCGGGACCCCCTCTCTCTCTCGGTCGGAGTCCCCCTGGGCAGGGTCATGTCCCACATCTCGGTCTTCACAGATGCCTCCCTGATGGGCTGGGGCGGGACCTGCCTCTCTCAGGTGGTGGGCAGTCAGTGGCAGGGCCGCAGGCCTCTCCACATAAATGCGCTGGAGCTTCTCACGGTGTGGAGGGTGATCCGACACTTCTCCCCTCTGCTAAGGGACCAGCATGTGCTGGTCCGCACCGACAACAGGGCCGCGGCTGCCTACATAAACCGCCAGGGCGGGGTGCACTCGGCGCAGCTACTGGGTCTGGCCAGGCCGCTGCTCCTGTGGGCGCGCACTCATCTGCTCTCCATCGGAGCAGAATACATCCCTGGCGTGCTGAACAGAGGGGTGGACATCATGTCGAGGGGAGGCCCTCGCCCAGACGAGTGGTGTCTCCATCCCGATCTGGTGGCCCATTGCTGGCTCCGGTTCGGCAGGGTAGAGGTGGATCTGTTTGTCAACAAGGAGAACGCTCAGTGCGCCCTTTGGTTTTCACTGAGCACGCGGGACGGCCCCCCGCTGGGAGTGGACGCCTTTGCTCACCCCCTTTAGCCTCCCCGGCTGCTGTATGCCTTCCCGCCAGTGCGGCTGATCCCGCGCCTCCTATATCGCCTGCAGTTTTCATCCTTCGTGGTGATTCTGGTGACCCTGGAGCTCAACCTGCACGTCCTTGTTTCCCTGTCTCCAGCAGCCGTGGAAACCCCGCTGGAAGGGGGACGCTCTCTCTCAGGCTGGTGGTGCGATCAGGAGTTACCCACTCCTCGAGAGGGTGCTCTCTCCGGGTGCCTTCAGCCGATGTTCTAGCAGATAGGGTTAACCTCCATTGTGTTGCTGTGCAGCCTCCAGTAACATTACTGCAGCTATATAACACCCGTCGGCACTATGGTTGGCACTATGGTCGGCACTTGCGGAGCTTCTCAACTCCGAAAACGTTTGAATAAATTTTCGATTCGCCGCCAATTTTCGTAAAACTGCCGATATTCGAAATCTATATAGTTGATTTCTCGCCTAAAAACTTCTCATAAGTGTATTTAAAGTTCTGTTGTTGGCTTCTAAAGAATAAAACGGTTTGCATTAGGATCTATCATGTACGTAAGCTGAGATGAACGTCATCATGTTTTGTGCGTGGTGTCTGCAGGCTGCAGCTGGATATACTTGTGTGGTGAACACATAACAGAGAGTGTTTCCGCCATAGACTGTATATAAAAAGGATTCCCCAGTGTTCGGCACTCAGTGCCAAATCCGTACCGCCAACAAGATCCGTTCTGCACATGTGCAAAAGTGGTTCTGCCAGTCTAAGAAGTTACCGCAAATCTGCCTCTTCGAAATGATCCAACTAGATCTTTCATATTGAGATAATTTTTATTCAACAGTACATTTTTAATTGCCAACACTAACAATGTAGCAACACAAAGGAGGCTAACCATTGCTGCTAGCACATCATGCATACAATCGCTGACTTAGGTTTAGGCACACACCCCTGTGATGGATAGGGTAAGGGTAAGGTGCTTTGGGAAGCTGTCATCACCCTTTATACTAACCTAGCTACCTAGCTAGCTAGCTACTAGCGTTTCCGACCTAGTGAGTCTCAGACTTTCATTCAGGCGTCTCATACAGATGTCTCATATAGATGCTGAAGGGTACCTTTTGCATCAAATAACGCTTTGTCAGCCTATCTGAAAGCGTCAGTATTTGACGCCCTGAGATTAAAACAGACAACAACACACAAATAATTATGAACAGGCACATTTGTGGTAAACATCTTTGGCAGACAGGACCACTTTTGCTCATGTGCAAAACAGATCTTGCTGGTGGTACGGATTTGGCACTGGCACACACCACCGCTGCGGAATGAATAACCACCCTACTAAAATGTCACACAATCATTAATATCAATGTAATATCAAGTAATGTTTTTACAAGCGAGCGCGGTTAACACTCAACGTTTGGCGAGCTCTCTGTGTATCCTGAGACTGTGGCCAAGCGAGAGAAAGCGAGGGGCAGAACATGACGGTCAAAGTTAGCAGAGGGAAATATTAGCAGTAAGTTTTTGTCGTGCAGTGTAGTTAACAGTGTGTCCGTTAATAAAAGTCTGTAGTTTCCCCAACTGCTAGAAAAGTTAAGGCTGTTAGCACTAGCTAACATCTCTCCTGTACAGCACATTTTTGGCTGTTTATAACGTTAAATTAGTAATGAAGTATAATATGAATTAGCTCAGCTGTATGTCATCACTAACTTACCTAATTGTCAAGGGTTGGTAAGTTAGTGATGACAGGTACAAGCTTAGAGTAAAGAGCTAAGTAGGTGTAAATCGCTGTCCTGTGTAAATACTGTACATCCTGATAATTAACTTTATATTTCAGTTTTCTGAGGAGTCTGACAACTGGTTGTTAAAGAAATGAGTGAGCATGGAGCTAGGGTTAATGAAGTAAATTAGGGATACAAACAAGACCTTAAAAGCTAATTAGGAGATGTTTCTTTTGGAATTTAATGCAAATTTAATGCTTAGTAATTATCCAGAGATCCTGTATAGAAAAAAAAATTATGCATCAAGATGCATCGATAATCGTTTTATAATCGCACTGCAGCCCTCTGAATCGTAATCGAATGAAATCGTGAGGTGCCCAGGGATTCCCACCCCTACCTCAAAGTCCATGCGCAATGTGCCCCTGATGATTGCACACATTTCACTTAAGAACAGTTCATTCTAAATGTTATTAATTATTTAATTAATTAATTAATTAATCGACCAATTATTTTTTGATTATTTGATCAATTGTTTGGCCTGTAAAATGTCAAAAAATGGTTGAAATCTTTCAGAAGCCCAACCATGGCATCATCAAGTTCAATGTTTTCTCCAACCAACACTCCAAAAAACTATAGAAATTAAGTTTACTATCAAATAAGAAAGAGAAGCAGCAGATCCCCACCAATAAGAAGTTATGTTTGTCTTTTTTGACTGAAAATTGTCTTAGAGAATTGATCGATTATCAAAATAGTGTCCAATGCAACACAAGTAAATGTATGTCTTGTTCAAGGGCATTCAAAACCAGATTCACAGGCTGATGGACATCCCCTTAAACTTCAGTGAACTAAACCTAAACCTGTTCGTGTCATATCATTTGGTAGCACCACCATCATTTGGTGTTTTTCTATGAAGCTGATGATGGTTATTTCTCTGTGGTGTTTACACTCTTTGAACGGCACCCTCCCAACTCAGCGTGTCACTCTGCAGCCAAATATATGCTTATGTAAGTTTTTGTGCATTCAAATTGAGAGCCGTCTTTCATGCTTGTCTGGACAGCTCCCTCTAGGGTTCAGAGGCCTCATTTCAGAGGTTTCAAAGATAGGAAAAATCAGAAGCAATTCCTAAACTCATGGTTGTGTCATATATCTCAGACCTTGTATGTTATTTTAAGTTAAGAAATCCTAACTAGAACTGTAAACCTGCCTCTTTAGCACTCGTCCTGTAAGGCCCGAATCTGTGTATCAAATGTACACAAGAATGCTTGCATCCTTGACAACGCCTGTCTCACTTCACTTGTCATTGGCTAGCTAGCTTGCTATGATGGACATGAGAAGACGGGCGTTCAATTTTAGCAATGAGTTAGAAGTATTAATTAAGGAAACCCCACTTTTTTGGGACATTTCATTCCTAATTATTGGACCAGGATAAAGATTTGAATGGACATGACACTTCGATCAAATTCAAAATGAATCATCTAGATTCCATACATCCATTAACTTACTAGTGTAGTACTTGGTCAGGGAAATTTACAGTGTAATCAAATGGTTTGAGTAGCTTTCAATGATAATATTTTGTTGTCCATGGTGGTGCCATTTTTGGCAGTTAATTTGAATTTAGGCCACCCTTCAGTTCGGACGGTTCTGTAATAGCTTAATTCCAATCCTAAAATAAGATAAGATTTTTCCTAAATGCAGTTAGGAAACATGTTTCTGTAATACCAAAGATCATAGATATCCTAAACTGAGATAAGATAGGATTTCAGACTGTAAGAGTTTCTGTAATGAGACGCCTGCACTACAACAAATGCAACTATGATGATGCTGAAGTGGACCAAGAAATATCCATCCATCGTCAACTGCTTATCCTGCGTACAGGGTCGCGGGGGGCTGGAGCCAATCCCAGCTTACATCGGGCGAAAGGCGGGGTACACCCTGGACAGGTCGCCAGTCCATTGCAGGGCCGCACATAGACAAACAACCACCCACACTCACATTCACACTTAAGGACAATTTTGGAGAAACCAATTAACCTAGCCTGCATGTCTCTGGATGGTGGGAGGAAGCCGGAGCAACCGGAGAGAACCCACACAGAGATGGGGAGAACATGCAAACTCCACACAGAAAGGCTGGGGCAACCTCAATTAAAAATCTGCATGACACCTACCTGACAGCGAGGATGTGCATGGGTTGTGACCGGCGGAGGCATGTTTGGGGGGAGTCCGCGGACGAGGAGGAGGGTGGCTCCGGGGAGACATGGCTTAGCGCGTTTGAGTGCTGACCTTGCCGAGGCTGGTTGTGTTGCATGTGATGATGGTGATGGTGTGAAGAAGAAGTCTGTCCATTGTGCAATAGTGGGGTGGACTCATTCTGCTGACCACTGCAGGTAGAGTACAGGCTCTCCAGCGAAGAGTTCATATCATTCACCAGGGCCTCTAAATCGACATCATCCTCTGAAGGAGACAGGAAGAGGGAAAGGAACACATCACTGAACGAGTTTTAAGAGAAAATGGTAGTAAATATATTTTTTAAATCCCTCAAATGAGGAATGCAAGACATGCTTCAATAAAGTAGATAAGACAAGTAGATTTCCAAACTGTACAGGACAAGTGGGCAAAGAACAGTGTGGAGCAGAAAACACATCACTAAAGCTGGAAAGAAACCCAAACCCTTGATCCAATAAAATACAATAAAAGAAAAATGAAACCCCTATAAGCCTGCTGCTTTAGTTTCAAATAGTTGAGGCAGACAAAAAAGAGGTAATGTTGCTGAATATTGATGGGACTTTCCATTTTCTATTTCAGTTCTCCTTCATTTCATTGTGGCCAGGATGTGATCCCTTGACCTCACTTTACACCACCTTAGTTCTAAGGAATACTTAAAAAAAAAAAAACACTGGAATGCACAAAACACAAGAACACACACACACACAGGTAACCAGTTTTTCCAGAGTGCACAATCAGCAGGACTATCTTGACGACGTACTTTGTGCTGCCCCGTGAGGCAAATCTCCAGGGATAACAGGTACAAGCACAAACCTGCCCATAACACTTTTCAACTCTTACCAATGGGGTTCACAGCAAAGGCATCGTGCTATAAGCATCTGCCCTAAATTCAGCGCATGAATCAAACATTCTTCTTTTAAAAGTCTTTAAAAACAGGACATGGAATTCTTTTCAGAGGGTGGCTCTATCCTCAAAGTCTCTGTGGAAACCTCTAGGCGCATTGAAATTCATGAGGTGAATTTTTCAACTGAGTCCAGGAGCATGCTGTATGAAACGTTGAAGTGAGCTCAATTGAAAGGAAACTCTCCCTCTCTAATTGCCTCATGTTGTGAAAGTTGTATCATCTGGGTAAATTGAGTTCGTTGAGTACTTTGCTCTTTCCAAATTGCAATCAGCAGCGGTGACTTATATTTTAATTAATAATTCTTCATTATAAAAAAGAAATCTATCACATGAATTCATCACCAAATCTCTGTATCCAGATCCCTTAACTGTACTGTGGGACACATGTTAACCACTAGGGGGAGACAAGCTCTACTGGTACAGGGCAAGGGCTCTCAAATGTATTGGTTTCATGTAAGGGAACAACTAATCTGAAACAATGTTATTGTACATTTAGATATGAAGTTTCAATGTAACTGAGTTCTATTCTCCATTTCTAATTTTACTATTGATTCTCTCAGTAGCCCTACATTGTGACCTGGTGGTATATAGCAATAGATCAACAATTTCAGCCTTGTACAACAGTAACATTGTGATTTAGGTTTAGATTTTATTTTCCCTTTATTATGATGCCGGGGATGCCCTTCTTTTAGTACCCCCCCCACATAAAAAATGTCCCAGAGGCAACAACAACCACAGGTTAGCAGGCTAATAAACATCCCCATCCTTTCATGCAGCAGAATGCCATTGTCTCCAGCACTGAAGCTAAAAGCTACCTGCTAAACCTAAAGTGTCGCCTTTGAGGGGCTTTTCCTGAAAACATGTCAGGTAGTTGAATCACATGGGCATGTGAATCACAGGTGGATAATCTGTAGGTATTAATAGCGACAGGTAAGCTTGAGCAGCTACTTATAGATAGCCTGGAGAGCTAAAGAGCTACATTCCACAGGACACAGAGTACATACAAGGCTATACACAAGGCTAAGGGCAAAATTACCTGCCTTCAACAGAGCTGCTGAAAATATTTATAAAAATAAAACATTTTTAGGACAACATAAACAGCTGCTATGAGGGTAAACAAGAAACTACATCAAAAGCGAGTAAATTTCCCAAATCACTGAATGCATCATCTGATCATCATCCATCAGTATCACTAGGTGAGACTTTTACCCTCAAGCTACTGAGAGAAAATATATTTCCTCATAAATCTGACCTACTTTGGCCTCTGGAGGGGATTGGCAGAGCAGTTAGCATACAAAGGAACACAACTCATAAAGTAATGCATGGATGTAGGATTTATGCGTCATTCTCAGTCATACGATCGCAATCACCTATGCATGTCGCAATCAGGCAAACAAAGACATGCGTCATGCACCCGGGTGTAGGACAGACAGATTGATGACACAGACAGTATGCAGGCAGGCACGCACACACAGGATTTAAACCCATGAAGATTTCGACCAAACTACAGTTGTTCTTTCTTTGATGTGGAATACAGAAAAATGGGCGATTGGCCAGATACTTGGCCTTGGTAGGTATAAGAACCATAAACACCTTTCTTTATGCAACACACAGTGGTCAAGACACGACTGGCTTTACAATATTACAGCCATTAATTAGATCCTCTCTAAATTTCAGAGCACCTCAAGCAGCAGGGCGCACACATTGCTACAACAGCTGTGATGTAGTTGCTTAACAGTAACAAACTTTCACAACAAAAACTATGGATAAATCCCCTTCCACTGTGACGATCAGCATGTGCATTATTGTCGCATGTACTGTGGCATATATCTGAAGTAACTAAACTTCAACTCAGACCCCACATGCCAGGCAAAGTGGTTTACACAACAAAACAGAGACATACCAGCAACAGCTAGGAACATCTGAAAGATAGCAAGATTTTATTTAAAGCAAAAAGAGATACCTGAGCATCATACAGTGGCTGTGGCTCTGGTATGTAGAAATGCAGCAGTGATAACAGGGTGAAATGGGTATAAAAAGGGTATTAACATCTCCAGAGATGTATTAAGGAGAAAAGAAATAGATGTTAAATGCACTGCTAATACTGCACAATAAATGGATATAAGCAGAGCAGAGGCCAGCTCTTTAACAAGTCCTACCTGTTAAAGAACCCTTTATTTTCATATTTGTGATTATCCTAAATCCTATAATGTTCAAGACTGCGGATCTATGTGGAGGGGGTTTAATTTTGGTTAATATGGTAATCTATGAGAACTACAGAAGGGCTGTAGGCTAAGTAACAATTATTTAAACTAGTAATTCATTTCTTTTTTTCTTTATTTTTGGTTAATTGATTAATCTTTTAGTATATAAGTATATAAGTGTCATCATGGCGTATTTATATTTTGCTCGTCTTATCCGATAAATGGTCAAAAACCATGAGAAATTCAGTTTACTATACAATAGGAAAAAGAAAACCAGTTGATCCTCACATCTGAGAAGTTGAAACTCACAAATGTTTGGCATTGTTTGTGCAGGAGCTACATGTAAGAATTTTAGCTTAAAAGTACAATGTGTAAGAATTGAGGGTACTCCACCTTTGAAATTCATACTCCAAAAAAACTAGGGGGCACAACGGACCGGTACCAAACACAGCCTCCAAGACCAACGAAGGCCAGTTTGATACAGCACCGAGGAGATTAACAACTTTATCATTAACTGTAACTCTGGGGACTATGAAGACACAGAGGGTTCAGGTGAGGATAGGAGAGGTGTCATGCGAGAGAGGAGCAAGAGGGAGTTTGGGCATCAGAGAGGCAGCGACAGCTTAAAGAGCCAGAATATTTTCACATCTATCTCAGTGTTTACTTCGACCAAACAAGAGCTGGTGATAGTTGGAACAGTGGAAAGACTAATCAAGACTGTTTTGGTGAGTTTTATCTTGTTTCTGTTGAGTTTAAATGAAGTGTGTTTTACGATGAGTGATGTGACAAGACGTCTATATATTGTGTTGCAGAAATATCAACTAAAGTTAGCATGCTAACCAGCTAACCTGGCCCGTCCTGTCTCGTTATACCACTTTGTACCTCAAGAGGTGATAGTGAGTCACAGAGATAGCGGTGATAGAACAGAGACAAAACAAGATTTAACATTGGAGTTGCTTTCCACCGCTGAAGACAACGGATAGAGATGAAGTTTGATGCTGAACTCGAAGTGTTTTCGAAGATTCTGGTCAGCAAACTGATGCAAATGCGTAAAACTGATGATACACAGAGCAACTTTTAGAGCAATCGTGCAGGGAAACGTTGCCGTCAATGGTAATGAGTAAAGATTACTACCGTAATCACCTTCCCCCACCACTCCGCAACCCGCCCCGCCGCTATACGTTCAAAACATAGTCGGACTTGCCACTAGCAAGATTGCCCAGCAACATTGCTCAAAAAGTTGCCCCATGTATCATCAGCTTTAGTCCCTTAAACCTGTATTCTATCGAACGTCCAGCAGGGGGCGACTCGTGGCTACAAAAAGAATCCAGCTTCATTAGAAATTATGGTAAAATGACCCTACTTCTCACCTGAATAATTACCTCAGTAAACACTTTCCTGATGAGTTTATTCTCTCAATTGCTAGTTTCAGGTCTTCTTCAATACAACATTTAGTAAATTATGGTCCCATTTAGAGGAAAGTAGACCATAAAGCAGAGTATGCTACAGGGTGGGATTATCTATGAGTGACAAGTCATTACCATGACCACCTGTCAATCAGGCTAGAGTGACTCACACCCACGGCAGTGTGTAAATTTAACCAGCGCCTTTGAAAAAGCTTATTAGGAGTTGGCCGTTCACTTTCCCTGGAGAGTACTTTTAGTTTTAGGCCTGTTGTTTGCTAGACAAAATGGTCAGTCCTGTTAAAATGACAGTTAACGTGAATTACAGATGCACCTAGCTAAGCAGGCTAGCTAGCGCTACACACGGCTGTTAGCTCCACCATCTTGTCCAAATATGGTCACGTCCGGTGCCGCTGGTTGCAAAAAATCAACATGGCGGTGGACTATCGGCCAAACTCGATGCTCCAAAACAGCAGTCCGAAAACCAACGGGTGACATCACAATGACTATGTCAACTTATTATATACAGTCTATGGTCTAGACTCGTAAATAAACAGCTTGCTATTATTTTATGGTAAGTTAGCTGTTTGTTGAAAGAAAGAAAGACCTATGTGCATGTCCTTGTTTCTTAAAATTCCTGCAATTCTTACATATAGTTCCTTTAAACAATGAACTAATCAACTATCAAAACAATTATCAACTTATCGTTTCAGCTCTAAACTATATTGTACACACCATATTTTTCATATATGATGGCTATTCACATATTTCAACATGACTTGCATTATTTATAAACTAAATTAATGCTTCCACTGAGGTTTAACATGTAAAAGTGAAAACCTTTGTTTTATAATAATCTATCCATCTATTCATTTTTTAGATTAAGATGGATTAAACTGTACAAGGCAGAATTAAATAATCATTTCCTCATTGTTTATTTTCCCATTGGCTTAAGTTCAATTAATCCTCTTCTTCCTCTGACATGTTTAGTCCCCTCCCTCTTCTAAGAACTTATAACCAGTTAAATTAGTTAAATAACCCAAGCTTTCTCTATTGTCTGAGCCACAGTATTAACCAACGGTAAAACTAGTCAGGTCTGGTAAGAATCTGCATAAAAGCTGTTCTGAATGTGAGCAAGCGAGACATGGCCAAAAGAAGACCATTGTGCTAATGGCAGATCCATATGGCTCTCTGTTTCTCCTTAACCCAGGAATGTAGTCTATGCATTTTTTATTAATTCCTGCTTGTTAAAAACAAAGAGGAGGGGCAACCCTCTTGATGAAAGGGGGAATATAAGGGGTATACAGTACTTCAATTGAACACACACACGCACACAAACACACACAGGAGATACACAAGGGGGATAAACAGCCTCTAAATACAAGCCCAGCAAAGTGGTTTCCATTCAGAGGGATCAGTGGAAGTATAGACAGAGCAAGTCTAAAGTGTAGAGTGTGTAAAGTGTGGCTCTGCACTGGAGAGTACAATACCTCTGATGACAGCACACACAACGACTAAGGGTCAAGCCTCCAGATGGGGAGGAGAGGGTGGGAGAGTAAGGGTGAAAAGAGGAGAGGGCGGGTGGGGTGGGGGTGGGGGGCAACAGAGATGAACAGGAGAGAACCACATCATGGGACAGAGACAGACGCTCATTTAGGGGGGACTACATAACAGGGACAGTGGGTTCACATGGAAATTTTACTTCCCATACTTATTAGTAAGCTGTAAGACCCAGTTGTTGTCTTATTCAAACTGTTTAACCGACTTTTTTAATCATGTGTAAAAGGCTAGCTGTGTGGATCTAGTGACGGCATTCTTGGTCTGTCGAATGGTACACCACTCTGGTCAGACTAAAATATCTCAGCAACTATTAGATGGATTGCCCTGGAATTTAGTACACAAATCCATGGTGCCCAGTTGGGTGAATCCTACTGACTTTGGTGATCCTCACTAAATGATGGTGAACATGATAAACATTAGCTGCTGGACATTAGCATTTTTAACACTGCTATTTTGAGCATGTTAGCTGCATGTTAGCATCCTTACAACTTTCAACTTGTCAGCCATATGTGAATTACACCCACAACCCTGATATTAAATTTTTACATTAGCGACATGAATTTATGACGACATGTTATGGCGTGACAGGTAGCTGGTCCAGAAAGAAAGAAGGAATAGTAAAATACATGAACGCAAGAGTGAAGTGGGATGATGCGTGAAGAAACACCGGCATAGCTTCCCTCTTCCTCTGGAACGCTTTCCTCAAACACATCTGTGACTGCACCAATCTGTCCGTGTTCAAGAACGTACTCAAACGCACCTTTTTAAAACTTCATGTATTGTTTGAAATAATGCTCACACTGCTCACAAATGTGCTTTTATTGTGGTCTCTGTTTCAAGTGTGTTTTTTAAATTATTGTCTATTGTGTAAAGCGTCTTTGGGTATTTTGAAAAGCGCTATCTAAATAAAATTAATTATTATTATTTTAGGTATAAATAAAGTCCAGCCAGAATTATTAAGGTGACAAACGCTTCTGCTGTTACACATCAGCATATTTCTTTCACATCACCTTGTAATCACCCACCATTCCTTAACCCCCCTGTTAAAGAGCCCCATTCTTTTCAGGAATGCTGTTTGTGAGTGAAAGTGTGTGTATCTATGTGTGCCTGCACATGCATGCCAATGCGTGTGTGCCCATGGCATGTCAGTTTACCCTTACAAAAGCATAACTGGAATAACTGGAGGTGGGGGCTTTATTGCCAGGCCTGAGATCATGGCTGGTCAGCCCCCTCAGAGTCACGCTGTCAGATTACTGCACTGCATTGGTAATATTGATGGGATTTGTTGCCTAGCAGCTTCAAGCCCATCTGAGACCCCCCACCCCCTCCCCCCAAACATTTTACTTGTACAGTAGTTACAGTGTTAGCTGACACTTCTTCATTTACTCCTGAATCAACACAGTTCCAAAAAAACAAAAACAGAATGGTGCAAATATCACAGCCTTATTACCCAACATATACATACACACAAATAAATACACACTTGACTGTGAGATGAAATAAAGCATGGAACAGGATGTAGCTGTCTCGCCTCAGATCCCTTAATGCTACTACATGACATTCTGAGATATTGGCCAGTGAAATGACTGAATCACCTTTATGTAGTCACATTCAGATGATTTTATTTCAGTTTTCAGTTTAGCATAAACATGTAAAAAGCGATATTTGAATCTGTTTTGTCCACAGGCTCTCATCCACGGGTGCTGTGTTTTACACAAGCACAGTGTACTCGCTCAGGAAATAGCTAATTGTTACAAACAACCTAAAACAAAAGATGTCTGTATGTAGCCTAAGTGTTTAGCTTAGTTTGCCGCGTATCTTAACATTTGGCACATTCTTGTTAAAATAGCTGCTGGCTGAGACAAACCAGCCACTCCTCTCTCTACAAGAGGTACCTAGAAGCAGTGAATCACAGCAGCAGAAGAGGGAGCAGGAAAACAGGAGGAAGGACCGATGATGACAATGTTAGGTTCATCATTCTGTCTAAACTGAAAGTGTAATGCACAGCAATAAAAAAAGGCAAGGGAATGAAAGTGCACTTCAGAAAATGTTTATGGAGATTCTCAGTCATCCAGGTCATAGTTATCTAAGGAGGGTTAAAATCAAGGGCAACTGGCCTTGGACGTTTTGCCTCTTTCAGAAAATATTTTTGCAATTGGGGGGGATGTACTCACTTTTGTGAGATACTGTACATGACTGAAGTCACTCTGGTGTGTGGCAGAGAAAAACAACAACGAAGAGACAGCATTATTTGCATAGTGCAAGTCTGTGACATCACATCTGTGAGAGACTGTAGAGCACTCGTGTGTCATGCCACTGCTCGGGACAACAAGGCCTCGTCACATTCCTAGTTATTAAGAAAGATTGCATACTTTCTGAAAAACTTTACTTCACAGTAAAATAATATGTAAATGGCACAATTTATAGATTATATGTTGGGAATATCATGTGGCACAACCTCTATTTCTAGACATTAAATTTATGGGCTTGCAAATGCCCCGATAAGCCGCTCAATAGCATCTCATTGTTAACATGACCAATAATGGTGTGTTCCAACAAAGTTCCTACAAAATTAATAGGTTTGTTAATAAATAGAACTGTTTGAGCTTTATAGCAAATATGGCACGTAGCTGGTGGCTATATGAAAGTCTTATAAGAATGAAAGAGCGGGTTTACTGGAAATCAAGTTTTATCCCAGTCAACATGTGTGTGAAATCTGAAATTGTGTCCAACCAACTGTGAAATATGGTCATCAACACTTGAGTTATGGCCAAAAACATGTTTTGTGGTGGTGTTTTGAGGTCACAGTGATATTGACCTTCAGTTAGTCATTAAGTGGACGTTCTTTTCAAATTTAAAGAAATTCCCTCAAGGGGTTCCTGAGATATGGGACAACATGAAAACATAATATAACGTCTATCGGCAATGCTGAGGCATAAAGAACTTAATATTGTTATTCAGACAGTATAAACAACATTGTTCCTTATTTAAAGTCATCTCTCTTCGTCTGCCTCTCCTGCCTCTGCCTCATGGAGTTCCCTCCATCCTGAAAAATGACAATGTAATTTCTGCTCCATTTATTTCCCATGTCAGAGCCAAGCGTTCTAATTCACTTGTTGGGTCCTCACAGACTCCCCGCCCTTACCTCCCATGCTGAGCCAATATTGTGCTTAAATCTCATGCTCCGATTGTCATGGATGAATCCTGTATGGCACAATTAGATAGACAGCGTAATTATAATGGCACCCTGTGTCCACACAGATCACCCTTTGAACTGCTGAAATGTTTACAGCGGAAGAGACCCCAATATATATTACCCCCCTCGGCCCACCCCCGGCACAGTGGAGGATAATGAGCAGCAAGCCGCTCCCAACACTGTACAGACACAAGGGAACCAGACACACACAAACCCATAGTAGTAGTACCAGGTTCCCAGATAATGTTTATGAACTTTTTTGTTTTCTTTTATGTATGAATATAAACTGAGAATACACAGAAAGCTTATGTTACACCAAAGTCAATGAACATTAAAGTCCCAAGTTTGCAATACTTACTAGAATGCAATGTCATATGACAAGTCCCACTACAAATGTAAAATCATATGTAATGTGATGTCAGACTATAACCAAGCACACTCTTCTATGTCATACAACACCAACGTAAGTCAAGAATATTTGACAGGTTAATAGTGCATGTATCAGCACACCCACCCACCCACACACACACACACCCACACACACCCACACCCACACCCACACCCACACACACACACACACACACACACACACACACACACACACGCAGCAGATATCTATTGGTGGTTAAAGACCAACCTTGATGGTTAGGAGAACTCCGATTGGCTGATTGCTGGAAGCTAGGGCCAATGAGGTCAGCTTGTCTGTGATTGGAGGACCGGTCTATATTGTCCTGCTGAGTGAGAGAGAAGCAACAAAACAAACAAAGAACATTTTGTCACGCTACCGGGAACTGTGTTACAGGAGCAAAACATTCAACCAACCTTTTTTTAATGAAAAAGAAAATTCTGTATTTCTACTATGTCAACTTGTCAGGAACTAATTTTCAGTTTAACCAATACATTTTTAATTGGTTAAAAAAAACAATTTTAATAGCATTTTATCAAAGCGTTAAAATTTTTCAGTTAACAGCGATGACACAGGATAATGTAGGTGTCAAAAAGCACAGATGCAATCCACTAATGGTATATATATATTTGGTTACAACTCTAGTACATACACCAGTTTCTTATAGAGAAATGTTATGTTATGCAGAGCCATGATCTCCGAGCGTCCCGATGAGTGGTCACAAATTCAAGAACAGTATGTGGGATTATTTCAAACACAGTACACAGGTACAGAAAGTTCTTAGTGTCTAACATAAAAAAGGGTCAAAGTTGCTGAAGAGACATATTCTAGTACAGAAGCATAGCAATAGACGCAGAGATACAGAACTGCTGTGTTCAGAGCAGTTGCACAAGTGTACAAAGAAGAAAGAGGCAGCAAATATTGCCCACAATATCTGTTGAATCTCACAGATCTACAAGACCATGTAAAACACTGGCCTTCAAAAGATAGTAAGGCGTGCTTGATCCAAAATTCATCTTAACATTTTTATTTTATTTTATTATTTTTAAATGTGTCCCATTCGGAGCTAAAGCCACAACTACATTAAAACATTTTTTACGAAATCCAAACGGATCAGGGAAGACAAAACCTGAAGCAGAAATGGTCAGCAGTTCAGAAAACCGAGTACATAAAGTAGTTGAACTAAAATAACCCCCCTTTCTACACTGCTCATGTGTAAATACAGCTACATCCCACAAACAGTGTGTGAACATGGCCAGGTGCGTATGAGAGTACAGACGACCAGCAGTTTGAGATACCATTAAACCACAAGGTCCTGGTTTGACTTTTCCTTCTCCATCATATGTCCAGTCCCTGCAAAATTGTTCAGTAAGAAAAAAAAAATCAGCACCAAAAGGTTAAGTGTGTTTTATGTAAACATAAGTATATTTGATTTTGATTTGTTTCTAGCACTTGCAACTACTAAAGAGTATCACTGTGTGTTACCCATTGTGTGTGTGTGCGCGTGTGTGTGCGTGTGTGTGCAGACTGGCGTCCCGCGCAGTGCCTAACAGCAGGAGTGGGAACAGAACGTACCAGGGTGCTAACATGTTCAGGAAAAAAATGCTGCTAGACCTCTTCTGATGCTGTATTAAAAGCTGCTGCGGTTGCTTGTTCTGCCTCATTTAAAGTAGTGACAGATAATGCAGGCAGAGCTGGATTTTTTTACACACCTTTTTTTCTATGATACATGTTATTGTACCAAATGTTCTAAGCTACAGAGTTACAGTGATTAAATGATGATGGTCCTGGAATCCATCATGCAATTCTTTAGACCCTGAACAGTTATGTAAAATCTTAAATGGAGTAGGGTCTGCTGCCACCGAGCAAAGTGTTATCGCTGTTGAAACAACTAGTCTCTCTGCATGCTTTGCTTTGTTTCCCAGCGTTGCACGTGCACAGAAATCTACTGCGATATGAGCTGTAACAACAATTCTTTATCCTAAATAATAAAACAAACCAAAAGCATTTACAATTCCAAATCTGTCTGCCGATCTCTAACTGTTAGAGCTCAAATTCTACCACACTTTTTCAAGTCCTACAGCATCTGTGACATTTAAAGTAACTTTACTAACAAGACTTAATGAGCAGTTCCAAGAGAATAGACTCACTGTGAGAATAAAGCTTGAAGTAGAATTTTCCGTTCTTCAAAAGGGCTCGGCTGAGTTTTTCTCTTTTATGTTCAGTGAAAAATAAGTCATGAGTGTTCCTCTATGGTGTCTATACTGGTGTCAGTATTCAGACTAAACTGGATATAACTGGAAGTTCATTGTCAGTATATGGTTCTGTCCACCTCCACCCCTCCAACCCCTCTTCTATACCAACTAACCCAACCGCATCCAATCATTACATTGCATTGTTCTGTCTTTGTATTGTCTTGAGTTCCAGTCGTCTTGGCCAGATCAAAAAATAGATTTGGACCTTAATGGGACTAACCTTCTTTTGAAATAATCATTTAAAAAAGTCAAATAACCACCGCATCACCCAGTTTGTTCCCGTGACATAGCAAAATCTATCATCAACCCGCACCGTCTGGGGGTCCAGCTACCAGACTGTGACTGATCCCTACCCAGTCAGCACTGGGACGCTGTTTTGTTGGTGGGATGGTACAGCACAACTTTAATGTGTGTGTGCGTGTGTGTGTGTGTGTGTGTGTGTGTGTGTGTGTGTAACTCAGCATTTAGTTTGTTGAAGCCTATAAGGTTGAGAGTACAAAGAAGATAAAGGAAATAAGAAAATAAAAGCCAACGCTTTTTGTCTGGTGAACACACAGATGTTCACTTGCTTTTAGCCTTGTTCTTGCATTTTCTCAGCCTGCTCCTCAGTCTCTCTCACACTAACCAGTCTTTTACACACGGACACAAAAGCACAGGCGCACGCAAACACACACACACACACACACACACACACACACACACACACACACACACACGTTGCTTAAGTTCTTAAATAGGGGTCAAAACAGTTTTGACAAGAAGCACATAAAAGGTCTCATATTGATGAAGTTGAAAGAAACTCTAGATAAAAGCCAAGGGGCTGAGGGTCCAGCTTTTTAAAAGGGGTCAGTGGAAGGCCAGAGACCAGGTTAAGGTATTGAAAGCAGGACAGACACAAAGGTCTGGGGATTGGGCCTCAAACAAAGGGAAAAGCCTGAGATGCATGTCAAAGATACGCCTTTAAGAGGTCAGACTGAGGTTAAATGTTATGACAGGATTGAATATAATCAATACTCGACTTACTAAGAGGCTTTTGGCTAAGAAGTAGCTGAGAAGGGACTTGATCCATTAAAACATTTCAAGTTAAACAGTATAAAATTGCAGTTTCCATTAGATTTGCCAAGAACTAAACATTTCCAGAAAGCTTTAGAGATGTGGGACTCAAGAGTCCACAACTTGCTTCTGGCAGACCATTCTTGCTGACAGCAGCTAACTGAGTTAACGTACATGAACATTAGACAGCAAGTGGAAATCCCTTCTTACATAATTAACCGGAATGAGATCAGGAGGTCACACTAATGTCTGCTCTAGTGCTTCGTTTATCTGTTTGGTTATACAGTGGAAACCCCGCTGTAGCTGCTGTCACTGCACAGCTGAGCCACTGACAGTCTGGGCTATGACATATATTTACATCACAATAGGTGGTTCAGGTTTTTTTAATAATCTTTTTTCCCCCTAATTTAAGTAAATCTATCAAAACATTACCCACTTATTTAGTTAGCTATTGTTGGCAATGCTGTTACTAGACAATTTGACATTTATCTATGAGAGTTCAGTAGAATTAGGATTTCTATAACACTTTCAATGATCTGCTTTGAATGATAAGCTGCTAGACTAGTCTTAGCTACTTACCACTACAGAACAAACTGTTGCACATTGTGATAGTACAGTGAGTTGGCAGTGTAGCCCAATGATAATGATGGCCTTTGTATATATATATATATATATATATATATATATATATAGTGTAAGAGGTTTTTATTATACACGATCCAAGTGATTTGAAGCCTAAAAACACACAAAAAGAAAGAAAGCTGAAAAATTACAGTATTTTTGAAAACATAATGCCGCTTATTTTGTTATCCAACTTATGCCACTGGTCCCTATCCATTACGAAAAATGTACTAAATTCAGAATGAGGTGAGAACAAAAGTTTGGTTATTGTTTAAACCCTAGCCCTTTCATGCATGAATTATTAAAAACATTACCTAGATATTTTAAGATTCTTTTTACAACTCAATTGTGCTAAAATTGAAATCCATTTACATTTTTAACAATTAAATTAATTAAAAAACGTATGGACACCATGAAAAAAAGGCATAGAATGCCCCACCTGACAATATGGAATATTGTAATGGTGCTTTCAGACCAACCGCGAAGCGAGTGTTCGGGGCGGTGACTTTACATACAAAGTAAATGCAAAGACGTAGAGATGTAGAGAAGCGAAGGGGGCGGGGCCAGGGACACGAAGGCAACGCAAAGGAATTCGCGTGAGTTGAATATTTTAAACTCAAGCGAGAAAGTCGCATTACACTGAGTCGCGATAGCCTATCAGTGTTGAGATTGTCCGTACGTCACCGATGGCTTCAGAGCGATGTGTGGAGAGGGCCAGGCAGAGCGGGGGATTGAAAATCTGCTAGCTGGCTGAGAGTTGCTAAACTTGGGGGAGAGGAGCAGGGAGCAGCAATGTAACCATTGGACAAATAAACACCCGTAGTCGGTCGGATTCTGCTTTGACAACTACGCCGTTTACTTGTGGGAGGAGCTTGGAGTAAACTGCTTTTATCAAATTAGCTTTTTATTTTAGTTTTTGTTATTTCAACGTTGATTTATCTTCACTGGAGTTTCTCAGCAGCTAGCTTCTGTGCACATCCGGTGCTGTTCTTAGCGACGTTAGCACTGTTGGACTACGACTTCATATTTATATAAAAACCAGACAAAACTGGACATTACTTGGAGAAAAGAAAGCAAGGAGGTTGAACTACCTGGTGAGTTCAGAAAACATGTGTCTGTAACTTTACTCCAGCTATCATTGTACTTTACTGTGACCAAGTTATAGCATAGCCCCGATCAATCCAAACTCCATTCAGAAAACAAAAATTTTAGAAGTTGTTGTCTTGCTGACAGACCTGACAACGCATGAATTCATATGTTTAACAAATCTGCATCATGTTGTAGTTATTTCGGCATCAGTTTAATCCATTTATTGCTATTTAATCACAGCAAAATGTTTACTTTGGGTTCATACAGTTGTAGTAATGGCGAGTTGTGTTTATTCACGTTATCGCATTAA